AACAGACACCATTGCTGCAGCGAAGGACAGGGTGAAGTGGAGGTCCATGGTCGCCCACGTTAGTCGGCAAGGCACCAGATGATGATGATGGGCTGTTTGTTTGAACAAGACAGTGTCGCCATAGTCGGGTTGAGTTTTACCCAAGAGCAATATTCTCCCGAAAGCCTAAACCCAGAATTCAAAACCACAACCGTCAAATATTGACATAATGGCACTTGCTTTCATACAGTACAAGTATCAGAAATGCTGCTATGATGTTAAACTTAACCATTTTTAGAAATTCTAACTGTTTCTTGCATTGTTTGAAACGGTCTTTAGCTTCCAAATGAGTCAGACATCAAGAAGGTTTGGGCTTATTTGATCTGGACAGTCTATTTGAGCGTTTGATTGATGGCTTGCACGAACAAGAAACTACTGTCGTCGATTTATGCTCGGTTAACCGAGGAATTTGGTGGAACAATTAGGTGAAAAACGATATAGGCTGCATTCTTTCGTGTGGTGCAGATTACTCTGCATGCTTCTCACCTTACATTAATTCTTTCCCGTCTCTAAATAATGCCCTTCCTCTTAAATCCTGTTTTGCTTTTCGAATGAGTTTTTTTCCCTTCTGAATAGCAATTGGATACATTTAGGAAGTTACAACAGAGAAGTGAACGACTTGCTCTCTTCTTTTGAGTAATATAGGCGCTTTTACGTACCCATTGACAAAATGATCTGGCGGTTATAACAAGAACAAAATTGGAAAAAATGATAGAAGACAGAAATGATAATAGCATGTAAGTGCAAACTATAAAAAAGAACAAAAATACTACCCACTTAAACGTGAATGTTCATATAAAAATATAAATGTTAAGAAACCATTGTTATTAATGTATATCTTAGCTGCTAACTCGTGGTCCTTTTTATCACCGGGGCGTTCCGTCAGCTCAGTTGGTATCATGCTGGACTGCAGACGGATGGTCCTGGTTCAAATCTCAGACAGTTCTTGAACTCTGACAGTTTTGTGGAATTTTCAAGGCTCTCACTCAACCCATGTGGCTCAGTTCTATCGGAGAGGGACGTAAAATTTGGAGGTACTGCCTCATACACTAGTTTTGATAGCGGCTTTAATACCATAAAAAACGTACACTTTTATAAGGGAGGGGTGTGTGTGTGTGTGGAGA